GGCAAACCAAACACCATGACAATCTCCGGCACCAACACGACCGCCACCACCAAAATCACTGCACAACCACAGCAAAACAAAGATCCAAAACCGCCACGACCACCGCCCGATCTACCAAAAAAAAGATACAAAACCGCCACCAATCACACCAACAGACCATAACCACGAAATCCGCCACCGCCATCCGCCCCCACGACACAGCTACTGCCACCGTCCTGTCACCGTCAACACCACCACAGACATCACCACCACACCACCGCCACCAAATTGCACCAACAGACCACCTTTCAACCTAAATTTCTATCCCCGAACATCCCCAAATTTCAATCCCAAAACGAGTGACGAACGATGTTGCGGAAACACCGCAATAAGGTGTTGCTACTACTACCAACAGCGGCACCTTGCTTCGTTGTCGCAACTGCAGCGACGAGCTGCTCGTAGCTTCATCGACGGTGCCAACAGCGGCTTCACCGTTGCATCTACAGTGACGATGCGCTGCAGCCCAAGCATGTCACCGGTGACCCGCCTCTGATACAGTTCCTCAACGCCGGAGCTTTGTTACCAGCGAAGGGTTGGAGAGGAGAGAGTGAGAGGGGCGGCGACGGGTGAAGGGAATGTAGAGAGAGAGAAACACCGCAATAAGGTGTCGCTACTACTACCACCAACAGCGGCACCTTGCGGCGTCGTCGCAACTGCAGCGACGAGCTGCTCGTAGCTTCATCGACGGTGCCAACAGCGGCTTCACCGTTGCATCTACAGTGACGATGCGCTGCAGCCCGAGCATGTCGCCGGTGACCCGCCTCTGATACAGTTCCTCAACGCCGGAGCTTTGTTACCAGCGAAGGGTTGGAGAGGAGAGAGTGAGAGGGGCGGCGACGGGTGAAGGGAATGTAGAGAGAGAGAGGGGTGAGAAATTAGGGATTTTAACTTGGGTGGGGTAAGTTGGGATGTATATAAATGAATTTTTATAATATTATTATTAATATTTAATTAAGTATAAAAAATTTGTATCTATATAAAAATATCTGATTTTTGCAAACTAAAACTTAAAATCTGATTTTGGAATTTAAATCTTCAAAAGTAGGGCTCCATGTAATTTCCACAAAAAAAATTGCTATTTACCTTTGGACGTGGGCCTGATCCGGCATGACAAAATCACGGGCTGAAAGACGATGCTAATTGGGCCGTGCAGTCCAACGTTCTTTTATTCTCTCCATCTCCCCCAATTTTCCTTCGCCTCCAAATTCATTCTTGCTGAGGAGCGGAGATTCGAATTCAATCAACTTCTTATTTGTAGGTGGATTGTGTATCAACAGCTCGAGTAAGAAATTTATTTATGGAACATAAATGTGTTAATTTACTCTCTGATAAACTTCTGGCTTTTTGAAACACGACTTCATGATATTGCTCCTTTTTAATTGTAATGCAGATTATTTCATTGAGAATTGATCTTAAATTTTTGACAATGTTTCCATTTGATTCGTCGAAGAAATTGTCGTTTTCACGCTACATAAGTGATGGCGATTTGGTAATATTATATGAGAGACATGATAACATGAAGGCTGTAAAAGTTTCAGAAAGCGGGGTTCTGCAAAATCGTTTCGGTGTATTTAAGCATTCAGAATGGATTGGGAAACCATTTGGTTCCAAAGTGTTTAGTAATAAGGGTGGATTTGTGTACTTGTTGGCCCCAACTGCTGAGCTATGGACTCTGGTTCTAAGCCACAGAACCCAAATTTTATATATTGCCGATATTAGTTTTGTTGTCATGTACCTGGAGATAGTTCCAGGTTGCCTGGTTCTCGAGTCGGGTACTGGAAGTGGATCCTTGACTACGTCGCTTGCTCGAGCTATTGCTCCCAATGGACATGTTTACACTTTTGATTTTCATGAACAAAGGGCTGCCTCGGCTAGGTAAGAATTTTCAATCAAGATTAATGCTTATAAGTAAAATAATTGGATGTAGTATAGAATACCATTGGATTTTCTGCAGATTGAGAATGAACTGAATATGTTTATTTGATTATGGTTGTATTTCATGCATCCGTCACAAAAATGCGTTTTAGAACTTGACAAATTGATAAATGTTTTTAGTATCTTGATTATGATAGAGTGTTCTTTCTTTATTGCAGGGAAGATTTTGAAAGGACGGGATTGAGTAGTTTGGTGACTGTGGGGGTGAGAGATATACAGGGCGAGGGTTTTCCAGATGAATTTTTAGGGCGGGCAGATTCAGTTTTCCTTGACCTCCCTCAACCTTGGTTGGCTATTCCTTCCGCTTCCAAAATGTTGAAACAAGATGGGGTGCTGTGCTCCTTCTCACCCTGTATTGAGCAAGTACAGAAATCATGTGAAACACTTAGATCTGATTTCACCGGTAGGCCTTTTTCCTGGATTTTGTGGTTAATGATACTCTTATAGATAATACAATCAAGTCGGTTAGTTGAGCTGTTAAACTTGAGTACTTTCATTCATGGTGATGCTTATGATTGGCTTGTGCAGATATAAGAACATTTGAAGTGCTTCTGCACACATATGAAGTTCGAGAAGGGAACGTGTGGAGCTGGCAAGATGATGACGGTAGTTCCATGTCTCTTAAGAGCTGCAAGAAGAGACAACGCTCCACAAATGAGCCCGAAAATGCCAGTTCTCTGACAATCATGGCGAGGCGCAATGGCGAATCTAGAGGTCATACAGGCTATTTAACATTTGCAAGACTCAAATGCACCGTGTGAACCCTTTTACACTGGTGGAAAATAACTTTTCTATTAGTATTTGCTTCTTTTTTGAAAGAGTAAGCGACTGTGGAGGGAATTTCAGAATATCAGTGTAGAAGAGACCCTTGTCAGCTCCTCTATGATGGAGATTTCAAGGCATTCATGTAGTCAAATATTTGAAATTGTGTATTTAAAGCAAGAAAACATTAATATGAATCCTGCAGTTTTCATGCAGAATTGTTGTTGATCTCTTTTGTCCTACACATTCATATTTGATCAGCGGCTCTCAGTGAATCATAATCTTGCTGTGGTACTTGCGATATCTGAGTACTGATGGGACTTTGTTTACTTTTATTTCTCAAAAATGAGATCGTTTTTGGATGCCTAAGCATTAAAGGGGGTGGATGACCTCTAGAAGTTTTTCCTGATATTGTTTATGTGACTCTTGGTGCTATGTTTATTTACTTGACATGCAGATATTTCAGCTCTTTGCAGAGTGAATTCTTCCCCATTGCCTTTTGAGTAGTGCATTTTGAACTCTTCCACTCTATGGGGAGCGGTAAACTTCTGAACAGTCTTGCTTATTATGAAGTTTCCTATGGTTATTGACCTTCCATTTCTAAAGCTGCATTTAGACTAATGCTATTTAGCAATACACCCATATTCAACTTGAAGTACTATTAATCTGTTGGGTTTTTGTTTCTACCCGTATCAAATCCATGTTTAAATTGTCGTATCGACCTGCCAGTTATTGTCCAGATTCGGACAGCTTGACAGTTCAGTGTTTGTTTGGCCACCCATTCAAGTATGTGGCCACAGTATATAATCTTTATTTATGTTAATTATTTTATATTTCAATATAAATCTGAAATTAAGAAAAGAACAATGTAAGTGGTTGGTGCATGTTTATGAGTGATGAGATCTCAGTAGAATATGATAAAAGTTGAAAATGTAGACTAAAATTAACATGACGTAAATGTCTCTTCGCATTGAATATTCTAATAGAAGTAACAATGAAATGGATGGAATGGAGAAAAAGATTAAAGCAAGCTTTAGCTGACCCCCGAATTTATTCATCATAAAACTTTGTTGTGGTTATTGCTATGTTTCCACTATATACATTGAGGTATACTTGTAATCCTTAAATATTGATTTTATTCAGCGTTTATTTTTTTTCTCTTTTCGGGAGAAGATGGAGGCTGCCTTCCAAGCAGTATATGAAAGTTTCAGGGCTTACCCTGTTGATACGCACACTTTCTTTTGAGAACTTTGAACATAATCTGTGAGTCCTTAATTGTCTTAATATTTTGTCAGGTTTAATTATGGAAATGCATTAGCAGTTTTAATAATTGATCTCAGCATCTTCAGCTCAAGGTATTCTAATTTCCTAAAATGTTTCTTTTTAGCACATTATGCTCTTTGACAAAGGGATGACTTACATGAGAATAGCTTTCATACTTCTTAAGATATACAACTATTTCACTGGGGCTAACTCGGTAATATGTTTGTATTAGTTGAATTTTATGTTGGTTCTTTGTTAAGGCAGTTCTCTAACAAAGAGGGAGTTGGCATTCAGTATAATTTTTCATGTCATGGACTAAATTTTGATCCTTCATAAATAAGATACAAAAAGGATGGCAGATTTATCTTTGGGACTAATATTGTTCAGTCCTGCATTACTGTAGAACAGAAAGATATCAAGAACTGCCTCTTGCATAAAGTAATGGTTGAGAACCCTCGTGGCACGTTAGGTATGACAATATTGATCATGATCAGTGAAACGGAAAGAATTAAAGAGGGTGTTTGGTGGATATTAAAATTAGATTTTTAGTAGATTGTGAAAGAAGTTTTTGAAATGTGTGGTTTAAAAATTGTCGGATCCATGAAAGATATGGTTAATATTGATTGTTTGACTTTGACTTGAATTAAAATCAGATTTTAATCTGGACCAAACATGGGAAAAATATTGTCTCCCTGCCATGCTCTGTTGTAATCACAGCCTCGTCTAGGCAGAGTTGGTATCTTTGTTGCCTTTATGTTGCATCTTTTTTGAATAGGCATAGTTGATTTCATAATGGAACCGACTTTTTTATGTCGGCGATATAACTATTTGATGTTGATTTAGATAATTTATCTCGTCTGGAGTATGGCAAAGTAAGTTTTTAGATACATAGAGTGTTTTGAGCATGTGAACTCATTAATTGTAGTTGGTCATCTACATTCTCCCACATGAGTGTCTAATCAATGTCGTCGATGCATACGGATATTTTATGGACTTGTTTGGTTTTTCCTCGTCTCTTGTGGCCCCTACAAAAATTTGTCTGTCAAGTTATGCAAACTTGGAAAATGACGCCACTTTATTTGCACTAACAAAACAAGATCCACTTGCGTATTTCTAGCATACATTTGAAAATAAATTTGTTTATAAATCACATCTTGCGATTTGATAGGGGACTCAAAAATAATGCTACATGTGCGTATCAACCCAGCATCTATGGTCCCAATTTGATTCCTCTTGATTCACTTGGATAATACGACTCAGTTGAAATGTGAGCACTTCTACACGGTTTAAGAGTGAGTTCTAGTTAATGTGATTGTTGCAATCGATATAAAAATAGACATCGTGTCTTGGTTGTCATGGACCGGATATCTAGGGAGGATTACTTCAAGTAGGAGATTGGTTCTGTGGAGTTACCCTGGTGGAAAATGGACTGATGTGGACGGCAGTTTTCAAGAGATTTAATGATCTAATTGTACCCTACATTGCTCTTGAAATGTATATATCCTTGTGGGTTTATAAGCACTTTGAACACATTCTTACAACCTATATTATAGGTGAGTTCTATCCAGTGTGTTTGTTACAATACGTTGATGTTTTTATTCTCTTATATTGTTAGCACTTTAATTACGTTTTTAAGAAAGAAAAATTTGCATAGAAGGTTTCTAGAGTTGTAATAAGTTAGTTTTTAACCGAAGTAATGAGAAATCATAGTCCTCAATATATTCGATTTGTAGCAAGTTGATCCTCATTGGATTGAAACAGTCAAACTAATTGCTAATAAAGCACGACTTGTAATCTCTTCCAATCGTAAAAAATAAGTAAACGCATTTAACTTAGATTGAAAATAACTTATTACAAAGAATAAGTTTACCATTTAATTTGACATGAGTATTTCCAAGTTTCAGGCAAATGACCCGTCAAATTTAACAATTAATTCGCAGCCAAATTAATTATAAATCCAAAAAGTTTATGTTGAAAGTTGAAACAATTATTAAAAGGATTAGCTGTTGACATTAAAGAACCAAACAAGTAATAAATGCTTGAAAAATGACAACCCGGGTCCGAATAACCGCCCACATTACCTACTCTTAGTACAATATTTCAATTTGACAATCAATTTCTGTATACTGTATTACCCTTCAAAACTTACCCTAGTACTATAATGCAGATCATGTACACGTGTCTAACACATTCGCAAGGTTTTTACACAGTCAAGCAACNACCCTAGTACTATAATGCAGATCATGTACACGTGTCTAACACATTCGCAAGGTTTTTACACAGTCAAGCAACTGTTCTATACTGATAAAAGTGTACAAAAACTTGCGCTTCCGTGCATTATCTGAGGCCCTCTAGGTAGCATTCGTTGAATGAAGTGTGTCTGATTTTGAGCTATGCTGTATTGGAGTTTCAATGGATACAAGAAAAACCGGGTTTCTAATTTTGACTCCGTTCTTTACTTTTAAGATGTTCCTCTGAACTCTGAATAGAGGA